TGATGAGACGTGTGATAATCAACTAAGATTAAAGAGTGATCTTTTAGTAATGTAGGCTTAGGGTTAAGGGAAAGAGGATTGGTTATTATGGGCGGCAGTTTATCAGCATCCAGTAAGTGGTTGTTAGCATGGTCTTGGGCTTGTAGTAGTTTATTACTATTATTATTAGTTATTGGGCTTTGGAAGGATTGGCCAGATTGAAAATCTGTATGCCCAACTATAGAGAGCATGTGAGTTTGTTAAAAAGATATGAAAGAATCTTGCTAGGTTGTCCTTTTGCATTGGTTCTTTTTTTTTCTTTTTCTTTTTATTAAAGACAATCAAAATTAAAGACTACACTAAAACTAAAAACTAGAAAAATATAACAAATTATGAAGGAAAAAGTTATAAAATTGCTAGCCTTATCAAAATTAGAAGAAAAAGATATATTTTTGTGAATTTTTTTTCTTTTGCAAATTAAAATAAAGCTAGTAATTAAAAAATGTGAATCTTTTATGAGTTTTAATTTCCTAAGAAAAATCCACAAAAGGTAAAACAAAAGCTAAAATGTGTAGATTAAACTCAAATAATACTTACATGCTACAAAATGGTAAAAAAATCCGATTATGGTAAAAAATTAGGTGCTCACACCACCCATGCTCCAGAAATATTGAATTGTACACTTGATTGAAAACTAATTTATTTACCCATGCTCCAAAAAAGACTGAATGTTGCACTTGGTTGAATACTAGGTTATTTACCCATAGGAATAGGCATCTAGTCCCACTTAATATTTTTTCTACTTTTATTTGTGGTGCACTCATGTTCAAGAAACTAGGAATCCGCTGGTATGTTGCTGTATCTTATGACAATGAAATTGATTGGTCAGGAATATTCTTTCACCCCTTAAACAGAAGTCTTGTAAGGAACATTTTACCCTTTTAATGGACTCTAATGTGAACTTGAATTAGTCGGGAGCACTTTATATTAGTGGACTCTACTAGATGTGAACTCGAATTAGTCGAACCAAGTTTTGACTTTTGAATATAAAATGAAAGAAAAAACAATTAATTGGTGACAAGAAATTGACAAGTTGAACCTGCTCTGTTGAGATATATGCTTTCCTGTATTTGGGCTTACTTTAGCTAGTTTCATTTTTGTATTAGACATGTGATTAATTATTGTAATTGGGTACACATTTATGTACGGGTTTTAACCCAACACTCTTGTGACTTTGTATATAATGAGAATTGGCTCTACTTTGGAGCCTTAGTCGTTCATTTCCACACTTTTCTCCAGAACATGCTTATCTCTTCTTCATTAATCTGTTGCACATATTTCTGATCCTGAATCGATTCGAACATGGTATCAGAGCCATGGAAACCATGTAGCTTAGTTCATGTAGTGACTTTCGTGGTGAAGGTCATACGCTAATTTTCGCGGAGAATTTCTGCTAAAAAAAAAGAAATAAAAAAACCCTAATATTTTGATCAGAGTTTTTTTTCTTTTCGTCGATCTCATATCGGAGTTTTCGTTTGGAGGATTTATCTCTGATAATCAGTTTTTGGCGAATTCCTTTTTTTTTCTACTGATTGCAACAGTTTGCTCCATATTTGGTATTTTTTGCTGAATTTGATCCGGTGACTTACTGAAATTTTCGTTTTTCTGGCCTTTTGCTACTGGATTTGTGACGAAGCTTCGTAAGATTACCCTTTTCATCTCTTTAATTAGTTCTGCTTTTGTAAGGTTTGTAAGTGTGTGATAAATTGACCTTACAATGGGGGATAATGACTCTGCTATCAGTGATAATGAATTCATAGACCACAGTAATGAAATTACTTTCCATCCTTCGCATCCGTATTATCTCAGTCCCTCTGATAATCCAGGACTTATGTTAGTTGCTAAGCAATTTAATGGTACTTGTTTTGGGGCCTGGAGGAGAGCGATTATAATTGTTCTGTCCACAAAGAAGAAAATAGGATTCATAAATGGTAGCTTCCCTCAACCTGCGCCAACCTCTCCTCTCCTTGATCAGTGGGAACAAGTTAACCACATGGTCATCAGTTGGATCCTCAATTCTCTAGATCCTGAGATTGCACAAAGTTTGATATTCACAAAGACTGCAAAAGGAATTTGGGATGAACTAAATTAGAGGTACGGGCAGTCAAATGGTGCTAGGATGTATGAAGTTGAGAAGGACTTGGTTTCAGCCTCCCAGAGTTCATCTGATGTAAGTGGTTACTTTAACAAAGTGAAAAGACTTTGGGATGAGATGAAGTCACTGGATCCAGAGTCCTACTGTATTTGCGATTGTAATTGCGGGGGTAAACACAAAATGATGAAAAGGATGGAGAATCAGAAGCTAATGCAATTCCTCATGGGACTAAATGAGATTTTTAATAATGCCAGAGGAAATATTTTGATGATGCAACCTTTTCCTGATGTGGGCAGAGCTTATTCATTAGTCATCCAAGATGAAAAACAAAGAGGCATTCATAATGCACCAAATTTTCATACTGACTCTACTGCTTTCTCTGCTGGGACTTCCTCTTTGTCTGTCGGTTCAAGTTCCATACCCAAACCAGTCTACAACAATGTAAACCAACATTAGAAGTACACTTTCAACAATCAAACTCATAAAAGAAATTTTGATCCCAAAAAGCTAGATACTGCAAGAACAATGGACATACTATAGATAAATGTTTCAAACTGCATGGATTTTCACAGAATTTCAAGCTCAACAACAAGAATATGAGAGTTGCTGCTAATGTCATTACTACCCCAGAGCCTAAAATAGAAGAGAATCCACGTAACATGGCTACTTCAACCACCATAACTACAGAGCAGTATAAGTATTTAATGAACATTCTTCAGAATGTGCAAGTCACTGATGGAGTTCAAAATACAGGAGCATCCTCTGCTACTGCTAATGCTACTTTTGCAGGTATATTTGCTTCCTGTTTTATGAGTTGTGGTACTTGCACTTGTCTAAGTAGTATGCTAAGTTCCGATGTCTAGATATTTGACTCTGGTGCGACTGACCATATGACCTCCAACATATCATTGCTTTCAAACTTAATCACTTTACCAATACCACGTCTTGTCTCTTTACCTAATGGATAGAAAGTAAAGGTTTCTACTTTTGGATCTGTTTATTTAACCTCGTCCATCACTTTGACCAAAGTCCTGCTTGTACCCACTTTCAGCTATAACTTGATTTCTGTGAACAAATTTCTTTTCGATATTTTTTATACTGATGTGCTTCTATCCTTCTCACGATATTGTTGTTTTCTCCAGGGCCCTTCACTGAAGAAGCCATTGGTACTTGGTAAGGTGGTTGAAAGGCTTTATCTCTTACATCTCAATGAAGACTCATTTTCTGAACCCAGCTTTTCTCATCCATCTCCTATGTCTTCTGCTGTGTCTCTACCTTTTTCTGCTCATGTAAATACAATAAGTGTGAATAAAACTCATGTTTTGTGGCATCACAGACTAGGCCATATTCCTTTCTCAAAATTGCAAAAGATAGATGCTTTAAATGTGTCTTCTTGTGATAAACAACCTTTTCTCTGTCATGTTTGTCCCCTTGCCAGACAACAAAGAATTCCCCTCTCTACTAGTCAATCTCATTCTCCTCATATTTTCGATCTTGTTCATGTGGATGTGTAGGGACCTTATAACATGTCACAAAAAAATGCTATAAATATTTTCTAACTCTAGTAGATGACTGTAGCAGGACTAACTTGACACACTTACTCAGCAATAAGGGAAATGCCTTATCCATTCTCAAATCATTCTTTTCTATGGTTGAGACCCAATTTAATCTCAAAATTAAAGCTATTAGATCTGACAATGCTTTAGAGCTTGGAACCAGTCTTGAAGCCACACAATTTTTTCAGTCCAAAGGTGTCTTGCACCAAACTTCTTGCCCTTACACACCACAACTAAATGGGATTATTGAAAGAAAACATAAAAATTTACTTGAAACAGCAAGGGCTTTACTATACCAATCAAAACTACCACTTCATTTTTGGGGGGATTGTATCCTTACTGCTACATATCTAATAAATAGATTTCCAAGCACTGTGCTTGATGGTAAAACCCCTTTTGAGATTCTTTTTGGACATAAACCTACTTATAATCATCTCAGAAGTTTTGGATGTTTGTGCTATGCCGTGATTCCTAAGCCTCTCAGAAACAAGTTCTCTCCCAGATCCACCCCTTGCATTTTCCTTGGTTATCCCCCTGGAAAGAAGGCTTACAAGTTAATGTAACTTTCTGATAGGAAAATTATTGTTTCTAGAGATGTTGTCTTCCATGAGAACATCTTCCCATATTCCGAATCATCTTCTCAAAGCACTATTTTTCCTAAATGGCCTATTTCACCACCTTGTTCTCACATCTTTCCTCATTCTCCAGATAATGGGATTTCTTTCCCTAGCTCTCTTGATATTTCTTCATCTTCACCATCTCTTTCTTCTCCTCCTGTTAATCATGACATTTCCTCTTCCCCTGCTAATATAGTTTCACATGTTCCATCTTCTTCCCCTGTTCACACAGTTATTCCACCCTCTATGCCTAGATATCCTACAAAGGTTCATCAACCTCCTTCCTATCTGAAGGACTACCATTGTAGTTCTGTTCAATCTATACCTTCTCCAACCTTAACCCCCCTTTCCACCATCTCTCGATCAGTATGTTTCAGCAGTCTGAGTTCCATTAATCAGAATTTAGTCAAAATCTTAGATATTGTAAATGAACCTTCAACTTATCAACAGGCAGCAGTGCACTCTGCTTGGCAAGAAGCTATGTTGCATGAGTTTGTTGCACTTGAGGCTAATCACACTTGGGACCTTGTGCCACTGCCTCATTGCAAGAAACCAATCAGTAATAAATAGGTATATAAGATTAAACATAGGGCAAATGGGAGTATTGAAAGGTTCAAGGCTAGATTAGTAGTGAGGGGGGATACACAACAAGAAGGAATTGACTACACTGAAACCTTTTCATCAGTTATTAAAATGACAACTATTAGAACTGTAATTGCTGTAGCTATAAAGAAAGGGTGGAAAATGTACCAACCTGATGTTAATAATGCTTTTTTGCATGAGGATTTAGACGAAGAGGTATATATAAGAATACCTCAAGGCATGGTTGCCCCTGGTCCCAACATTGTCTGCAAGTTAAATAAATCCTTATACGGTTTGAAACAAGCTTCTAGGCAATGGTACTCAAAATTAAGTGATTTCTTGTGTCTATGGGTTATGAGATTTCCAAAAATGACTACTCCTTGTTTTTAAAGTCTGTTGATGCTTCTTTTACTGTTGTGGTTGTGTATGTTGATGATATTCGTTTGAGTGGAAATGATGATAAGGAAATAGCCTCCCTGAAATTGTTCTTGGATATCAAATTCAAGATAAAGGATTAGGGACTTCTTCACTATTTTTTGGGACTGGAGATCCTAGCTGAACCTGGAGGTGTGATTATTTGTCAGAGAAAGATTGCTACCGACCTTCTATCTGAATTTGGTTATTTGGATTGTAAACCCGTTAGCAGTCCTCTAGATGTTACTTTCAAGCTTCGAGTTGGTGAAGGAGAGCCTCTATCTGATCTAACATTATACAGAAAATTGATAGGGAAGTTAAAACTTCCTTACTAATACCAGACCTGATCTTGCCTTTCCTGTCCAATATCTTCGCCAGTTCATGCATGTCCCTACTTCTGCTCATTTTTCTACTGGGTTTCATGTTCTTCACTATGTTAAGGGCACTTTGGGGCAAGGTCTTTTTATGGCAGCAGATCCTGATTTCACTCTTCAAGCCTACTGTGATTCTGATTGGGCTTCTTGCCCTACTTCTCGAAGGTCTGTTAGTGGGTACTTAGTCCTCTTTAGTGGTTCTCTTCTCACTTGGAAATCTAAGAAGCAGCACACAGTGGCCTTATCTTCTGCTGAGGCAGAATATCGCTCCATGCGGCGGGTGGTTGCAGAGTTAGCTTGGCTCACTCGTTTACTTCATGAGTTGTTTGTTGTTTCTGTGGTACCTGTGCCTCTTCATTGCGACAACCAATCTGCCATCTATATAGCAAAAATTCCTGTTTTCCACGAACGGACTAAACATATTAACCTGGATTGCCATTTTGTTCATGAGAAGCTTCATGATGGCTTGATTTCTCTTTCGTTTGTTCCCAGCAAGCTGCAACTGGCTGATATGTTAACAAAGCCCTTATTTGGTGTGACTCATCAGTTCATTTTAAGCAAGTTGGGTGTGGCTAACCGCCCTCCAACTTGAGGGGGGATGTTGAGATATATGTTTTCCTGTATTTGAGCTTACTTTAGCTAGTTTCATTTTTGTATTAGACATGTGATTAATTATTGTAATTGGGTACCCATTTATGTACAGGTTTTAACCCAACACTCTTGTGACTTTGTATATAATGAGAATTGGCTCTACTTTGGAGCCTTAGTCGTTCATTTCCACACTTTTCTCTAGAACATTCTTATCTCTTCTTCGTTCATCTGTTGCACATATTTCTGATCCTGAATCGATTCGAACATGCTCGGGTGAATTATAGCCAGGAGGTGGAGGAAAATATTCTTTTGGCATGTCAATAGAGGTTCGGGTTTTCTGATATAACTGCTTGTTACACCTCCATTGCAAAACTCAAAAACTTGAAGCAACACCAAAAAGATGATTACGGAATTCATTGTTATAATAATACTAAAGTCTAATGTTTTTACTTAACCAATAAAGAATATGTATATTCAACTTAAACTAGAATTATATAGTGACCAGGAAATGAACTAGCTTTGAGTATTTTCCTCGGGTTCAGTTATGATAACAACTAAATTTTTAATAATGTCGTATCAGGATTAATTCAGCACAAAATGGAGAATATTCTTAACGACAATTTCTTATTATAGTTTTACTCAGAATCCTTATTCACCTCGAACTCAATTTAGGTATTTTATCTATATCTCGTCCCTATATATATGTGTGATGTGTATCTTTTTCTGTTTCTTCACTTCCAGTGGGACCAAAGTATCCTTTACACTCGTTAATCGCTATGTTAACACGCAAAAGGTGAAATGGACATTCCAGAAATAAGGGAGATGTGAATTTGAAGTTCTAACGTAAATAAAAGAATAAAATACCTTTTCAACAATCTAATCTAATGTAAATGATAAAGGAAAATACATTTTCAAGAAGGAAACATATTGTCTTCCATTCCTAAAAACATAGCTAAACCAGTTGCTAATGTTTTATAGTTAGTTATTTCTGATATATTTCTTTTTCTATAGGTAATATTGTCAATTCATTTATTTCTTATTGAAACATCGTTGATCTTAAGAAAGATTTTATTAATCTTAAAAAATGACTTTCAATTAAAGACATTGTTACATAACAATTAACATTTTTATATAATCAATATAGATATTTGGAAATGAATATGAAGTCCTTTTTATCTAGTTGAGTATATATTGATTAGATTTGTTTTTTACTTGTACAATATCTCTTAATAGTTTTAATTTAATACGAACGTATCTTGATCTATTAGCTTGAAGAATCCCCATGGACATTGAAAGAAGAAACCGTACAAAGTCAAAATTGTAAATAAAATCGTTCAAGTTTCAGGGAATAAGAGGCAAGAAGAGGGAATATTAAATGCAATTATAACCAAATTCTTAAAAGCATATTAAGTTAGAACTATGCGATGAATGAGTGGTGACAAATTAACATCAAAATGGTTGAGAAAATTTATTTTTCACGAATAATATATACATATATTTACATATCTTAGGGTGTACATAGGTTGGGTTGGTTCAAATTTTGTAATTACCAAACCAAACTAATTGTGTCGGGTTATTAAATTTAAAGACCAAATCAAACCAATAAAACTCGAGTTTTTCAATCTCTGGTTTTCGGGTTTTTTGGATTTTTTTTTCCGGTAAAATCTTCGTAGCACAAAATATATAACTACTGCTCAAAATATTTCTTTAATCCTAATAAGATACAATTATTTCAAGAAAATAATACAAAATATGAGATGTGTCATGGCATTATCCTAAAATATTCAACAATAAAAATAATAAAATTATGTAATATAAATATTGTTAATTAAAAACCATAATACATAATCTAAAAGTACTAAGTCATGCTAAAATAAGTAGACTAATAAGGGAATATTAATTTCATGACTAAAACGCTAAAGAAAAATAAAAATAGATTATGCATTTTTATCTAAATTATTGCAAAATATAAAATAGATATTCAACACATTGGCGTTCGTAGTATTGAGTTGAATATCTTTTGTTAGCATTAGTATTGATTTGAGCTTTTGTTAGCATTATATAAATTACTAATATTAATGGCCATAAAACTTATTAAAACATTCAAAAATTTTAAGTTCAATCTTGAAATAATATCTTAAAGGTAGTTTTATGAAAAAGTTTAAGAAATATATATATAAATTACATCACAATAAGCATATTTATATATTAAATATATCTAAAATTTCTATATATGTAATATCGGGTTGATTTGGTTTTGGTTTGACTTTCTTTAGTTAAAACCAAACCGATTATGATCGGATTTTATTTTCCAACACCAAACCAAATCAAATCAAATTATAATCAGGTTTTTTTTCTCGATTTGACTCAAATTATCGGGTTGGTGCGATTTATCGATTTCCATTATACACCCTATAGGTTAGTAATAAATTTTCGGACTTTGATTTTTTTAAGGCCTAAAGCCACAGGAACTTGATTGGCCTGCGAGTAGAGGGGCCGCCCTTAGTGCGCCAGCAGTCATTTTGTTATATTGTAATCATGAGTTTCAGTACAGTGCGCATTTTGTTATATTGCAACCATAAGTTCATATAGTGCCCCTCTCCATCTCTAAGTCCGGAACCTAAATATTGTGTGTTTGGATTCAAAACACACAAATAAGTGTATTAAAAAAAAATGACATTTTTATATATAGCGTGCAACAACAACACGCTATATATTAACGATAACGTCTGCCGTTAAATATAACGTGTTGTTGTTACACACTATATATGTCAGACGATTTGACTTCTCATATAGCGTGTTCAAATTAAACGCTATATATAACGTTTTCAAATCGTACGCTATATATAGCGTTTAATTTGAACTCGTCTTCTTCCTCGATAGAACCCTCCCCCATTTTTTTACAAACCCTCCCTTCTCCTTCTGGTCCCCCCACCCAACTGCTCGACCATTTTTTTTTAAAAAATTGTGGGCCCCTCCCGTCACACAAAAGGTCAGGAACGTAGGTCCTCCATCGTAGTAGAGCATTCTGGACTCGTGGTTTATCTCCTTCGTCTTCAAATTTTCACGCAAGACACACACAACATCGAGGTATTTCGATTTATTTTATGTCCAAACTTGTATAATAATGTATATCACTGCCTATTGAATGTGTTTCCATGTCCTTTTGTGTTGTATTTGCAAAACTAGTATGTTATATTTATCCGGACTTAGATATTAGTGTAAAATTTAGATTTAATTTTTTATGTTAATATAAGTATTTAGATATTAGTATTTCTATGTCATTATATGTTTTTTATTTGCGAAACTAGTATTGTTGTAGCTATTTTTTTTAATGTTATGTGATTAAAATATATATGTTGTTTATATTTAGTTTATTTATTAGCGTAGTAAAATGTAGAAACTTTTAACGTAGTAAACTGTATAGTATTTTAGCGTAGAATCCTTGTAGTTTAAGTAATTTTAGAATGGTAGATGAAAATATATACTTTGTACAAATTTAGAATTTAAATTATAAAACAAACACACACAAAATAATCGAAAATTAAATTTGACATACATAAATATTCATGTTAGTTTGGTGCTACTGGGCCTTAAATATCGAGCCTGGAACCTAATTGTTACATATACTCTGTACAATTAAATCTCTAAAAAAATTTAGAATTTAAATTATAAAATAAACACACACAAAATTATTAAAAAATTAAAATTGACACACATAAATATTCATGAAAATTTGGTGCTACTGGACCTAAAATATCGAGCGTGCCCGAATTGTTACATATACTTTGTACAATTTAATAATTAAAAATTTAGAATTTAAATTATAAAACAAATACACACAAAATTATCAAAAAATTGAATTTGACACACATAAATATTCATGTAAATTTGGTGCTACTGGGCCTAAAATATCGAGCCTGGACCCAAATTGTTACATATACTTTGTACAATTAAATCTCTAAAAAATATAGAATTTAAATTATAAAACAAACACACACAAAATTATAAAAAAAATTGAAATTGACACACATAAATATTCATGAAAATTTGGTGCTACTGGGCCTAAAATATCGAGCCTGGACCCAAATTATTACATATACTTTGTACAATTTAATAATTAACATACAATTAATGTTGTTTAATTTATAGTTGACGATATGGACGCGCCTATACATCCCGGCCCTTACTCTCGTGAGCTATTAGTGCTTCAGGGCGATCATAGGTCCGCCCATATATGGGATGGAGAGTTACTTTCCCAGACTCTCCGTGCTAGGAGAGTGGACGACCTGTGAGATTTTCTTCATGACAAAGTTCTCCACGAGCGTGTAATCCATTGCCTCCAGGCCACAGGATTCTATAGGATTATTAAGATCGGCCGGATACAGGTTGACTGGGCGTTGATCACGACGTTGATTGAGCGGTGGCGACCGGAGACGCATACTTTTCATTTGCCCATTGGCGAGGCTACCGTCACGCTACAGGACGTTGAGGTTTTATATGGCATGCCCGTTTCACTGCCTATTGCTATGAGATATATGTCGCGTGATCATTATTTGGACATGCTGCATCAGCTTACTGGTTTCAGGCCTCAGGACGAGGCTGCATCGTCTGGTGCTAGTCGCTTGGCTTTGACCCTTATTAGACAGCACCTGGAGCTACTCCACCCCGATACCACTGACGATACAGAGGTGGAGCATATCACCCATTATACGAGGTTATTGTTGCTTCTTCTATTTGGAGCTACTCCACCCCGATATCAATTTATCGTACTCTAGTGTAAGTGGTAATTTAACATGACCCTGTGGAGATAAACTCNAGAAAATATTGAAGAGAATTAGAATTGCATGTGAACGATTTTTCCAAATACTCTGACCACTTTATAGGAAATGGCTAGTCCGGGAGGTAGAAAATTTTGGATATATAGCGTTTTTTAAACACACGCTATACATTGAAATAATTGTGATTGTAAGTTCACTTATTGGTGGGGCCAAAATCAGAGGATATCGTTTTCTATTTGTGCCCTATACATATAGCGTGTAACAACAACACGCTATACTTAACGGCAGACGTTACCGTTAATATATAGCGTGTTGTTGTTGCACGCTATATATAAAAATGTCGTTTTTTTAATACACTTATTTGTGTGTTTTGAGTCCAAACACACATTATTTAGGTTCCGGACTCCTCTATATATATATATATATATATATATATATATATAGTCGAATCAAATGAATATCTCATGTGAACCCATTAAGTCACAAAATATCTGTCAGCTAATGATATGGTAGGTGGAAGACAGACATGAACATGTTAATCAAGTCACAAATTTAATATACTGAAGAACAGAATGGAAACATTAACTAAACATAGAAGAAGTTCAGACTGTATTTCCTCTTATCGAGGTTTTGGCAAGGTAAATGTCATCTCACTTACCCTTTTGGATGAGTATTGTTTCATTGCTTAACAAGACAACTATGTAGGACATTGTTGGCAACAAGAATAGGCCTACTTTAAATCTACATCATCCAGATTCATGGAGAAGTTGCTAACTCCACTACATAATTTTTCTCCCCACATTCCCAACCATCCAAGTTTCTTTCCTTTTCTTTTGTTCCTTTACTTTAAACAGCATTGTCATTCTCAAAATCAGAGTTTTACTTAATTCCATCATTTGTTCAATCTCCCATTACATTGGACTGCTCTCTGCATAAACCAAAATTCTTTCATTACAGTAATAAATATAATTCAACCATATTTTTGTTGGATAAATTGGTTATGGAGAATAGGATTTATCAAAGCTTGAGGCGTGTCAAGAACACTGTTTCTTTAGCTCTCCAAAGACAATATTTATATAGGTGTTGCTCCAATGGCTAGTTAACGGCTAATTTGTAATGTCTAGTTTGTAACGGCTAGTTTAACTATTTCAAGATGAGAGAAAGTTGATAAAAATAAGGGACATTTCCTTTTGAGATACCCACAAATTCCAACAATTTTAAGCCAAGTAGAAAACAAGATGATCAAATTTGATAAACCAGCAGAACAGACAAGGAAACATCAATGTGAAGTTCAGTCTGTATTTATTCGAGAGCCTACACTTTGTAGGTTCAACAATTAAGGACCTTATCTTCTGTTAACAAGTAAAGCCTGAAATTTTTTTAAGCAAAATCTATAGATTAGTTTATCCTAAAGTTGTGGGCTGGCAGACAGGGGTCCCTCCCCATCAGGGGAGGTGTCAAACATCTCTCCTTTCTAAAACACAATTAAGAAATTTATGATTTGGAGAAGATGGTTCTGTCCTAACAAGGAAAACTTACTACAAGAAGTTGGAACACTAAATCCTCTTATCGAGGCACCGGCAAGGTAAATGTCATCTCATTTATGGATATATCATTTAACTGTTGAGATTGCAAGCTGCTGCGAAATGCAGGTTCTTTTGGTTCTGGGATGGGCAATGTTTCGTTGCTCAACATGACAACTATGTCAAACATTGTTGGCCGATCAGTTGGGATTTCTTGAACACAAAGAAGTGCAGCCATTATAGACCTTGTCGCCTTATCACTATCGCAGGTTTCCCTTATTGATGGATCAATCAACTCCAACAAGCTTCCTTCTTTCCACTTATTCCATGCCTAAAAGATCAAATGAGTTACCCCATAAATGAAAAAAATATTGAAAGAAAACAAACTTTGACAAAGTTTCAAAATGTGCTGAGTGTCTTACCCATCCTAAGAGGGACACAGAGACTTCAGTCATGAAAAAGTCTGAGTTTCGCTCACCAGTCAGAATTTCTAGCACCAATACTCCAAAGCTGAATACATCTGATTTCTCTGAAAATTGGCCATATACTACATATTCGGGAGACATATAGCCACTACGCCAGATTTGCGTAAATCGTTCATTAGCTATACGCAAGAGGCAATGACATAAAAGCTAGTAAAGGGGTTATCACTTACTATGTACCAACAACTCGGTTTGTATTGGCCTGTGTTTGATCAGTCCCGAAAATCCTTGCCATTCCAAAGTCTGATATTTTAGGGATCATCTCTTCATCAAGCAGAATGTTGCTTACCTTTAAGTCCCTGTGAATGACTTTTAATCTCGAGTATTTGTGTAGGTAAAGCATTCCTTGAGCAATTCCTTCTATTATCTTGAAACGCGTACTCCAATCTAGTGTAACTTTTAGACGAGAGTCTGGAATAAAATTGAATATCTCATTAACTAAGAGAATTGAAATTCTTTTAAGTCATTTGAAGTCTTAAACGGTGTAGAAGACGAACCAAAAAGAAATTTGTCCAGGCTGCAATTGGGCATATATTCATAGATTAGTATTTTCTCCTCGCCTTCAACACAACATCCTAAGAGGCTGACAAGATTTTTGTGCTGCAGTTTTGCAATTAACTTCAACTCATTCATGAACTCCTCCTGTCCTTGAGATGACCTTCTGCATAGCCTTTTGATAGCTACGTCTCCAAATTCGACCAAAAACCCCTGAAACAGTATGTCTAAAATGAGACAGATTACTTAAAGTAGTATCAGTAAAATACGAAAGCTGAATTTAACACCTTAAACACAGGGCCAAAGCCACCTTCTCCAAGTTTGTTTTCCTCGTGGAAATCGTCTGTAGCCTCTCTTGTTTGCTGCAGGCTGAACTGTAGCAACTTCATATCGCTTTTTCCCACAGAATACAAGCTAGATACAGACTTAATGAGAGCAGAAGTTCCATGTGTCCAGCCTAATTGCAAACAGCAATCAGTAAAGCAAATCAGTTTAATCCATACAAATTTTAAAATCATTACTGGTGCTAATTTACAATTAAGAAGCACTTGACATACCTTGTCTTCTCAAGTGCTTTCTTTTGAAGACAAAAACAAAAATACTAATAAGAACCAAGATAGCAGATATTGCAGAAACAATTCTTGCAATAAAAACTATGTGTCTCCGAGCTGAATTCCCAGATACGCGATGAGTAACTGCATCCAGAAGCCAAATGGTAGATAAATTAGATAAATTTAGTTTTCTAGATAAAAGATGTAATGAATCATTATTAGTAGAATTGATAGGAATTGAAGTGAAAATACCTGGCTCAGAGCCACGAACTCGAACATAGAGAGCTCTGCCAGCAGTATAGTTATGTGCAAGGTCTAGTAAATCTCCAAACCAAACTAAACAGGTGCTATTTGAATAGGCATAAGCTGAGCAGGAACAGTTTCTAATGCACTGAGTTTCACACTCCTTAATGTTCATATTCCCGAAGGAGATAGCATGATCGGGCAACTTCATATTCTCGTGCTTCAAAAACCCATCTCCGCCATCACACCCCAATGCTACTTTTCTACCACAACCTCCATTCGGCTTCCCATTTGCCCAATCTGTCGAAAATCTTGGTTCAAATCCTGTTAAACATTTGCATCTGTTTGATCTGATCCCACAGCTGCCAAATGGACCACACTGCGCGTAAAGTTCACAAGGAACTTGTGGTGCCTGAAATTCAACTTTCCATTTATTAGCATACTGAATCCATGCCAGCACCTGAAGGTATCCACCAGGATTCAAAACGACGATTATTGTTATCAGGCTTTTGGTGTAACCATAAGTAAGAAATACTCCATCTTTTCCTGAAACAACAGAAAGATACCATGCAATTCCCAGGAAATTCCCTCCAGAGTATTCATTACTATCGTCAAACCTATAATAAATACTGTTCTGCTTCCAAATGTAAAACTGTGGTCGCCCTTGAGGGTCTACTCCAAAAGAGAAATTTCCAGGCCGAGGATCTTCACTACTTGTCCACGAATTGACCAGAGTTCGTTGGCTAGTCGTTCTATTATAACCGAGTTTCATCTCAGGCATAAATGTATCCGTAGGATGTTCAAAGCTCTGCCACAATATATGGGACTCACCATGCATAAGAACAAGATTTCCATTATCTAACAATGCTCCCACAGCAGAATTTGAAGCCAAACCTGTTGTGGACGAAACATTTGACGACCAAATAAGTTTACCATTTTCATCAAAAAGCACTAAATTTCCATCATCACCAATAGTGAAAACTGCAGTAGAATTCTGAGGGATTGGAGATTGTCTGTTAGCAACCCAAATGACAGTTAGTTCAGGGATGGTATTATACCATATGCCAATATAGCTAAATGTAGAATTGCCTGGAGTGAAAAAGCCGAAGGCAAAAGTTCCACCTGTTGAAACCATTTTCTGATTACCAGTAATTGATTTGCCCACCTTGATATTGTCTTCACTTGAAAGAAGGGTTAAGCAAGAACATGAGAATACTAGTACAAGAGCTAGGACAGTATCTAACTCCATTAGTTTTCCTAGTACAGCTCCTTGTTTGTTCTTGTTTTATTCTTTATCCCAAGTAAGTGCACCACTTCTCCCACTTCCACCAAGTTGGAATTAAAGGAGAGAATGTTCTTTATTAGCACAATATTTTAAACAAACATAGTACCTCTTTTAAAAGATTGAGAGAAATAAAAAGATTTGTGGTCCCTTTCTCCTAAATATATACACACCTAAATTACACGTTTCTAAACATTAAATAATGACACAAAAGATAGGTTTAGCGACATAATGTTATTTTTCACTGTTACAGAGTGTGAAAATGAACAGAACAATGGCTTCCACGTACAGGGAAAATTAATTGAGTTTGTTATAAAATAAAAGCGATTTAGTAAAACATGAACAAGAAATATAAGCAATTTAGTAAAATATGAACAAGAAATGGAGATAGAGAGAAGGAAGAGATTTTCTTCTTCAATTGTGTGTATTTTTCTATCTATTACAAGGCCTTTATATAGGCATAAATATGTCATTGAACATACAAAATATGTCATTAAGCATTTGAGATGAAGATCATGGAAGAAGAGTAGACATCCACCATAATGTGATATTTATCATAACACTCCCCCTTGGATGTCCAAAGATAATGTGCCTCGTTAAAACCTTACTAGGAAAAAATCCTATGGGAAAAAAAATCTTAGTGAAGAAAAAATAGTACACATGTTTAGAAATACGCCTTTTGGTTGCCTCGTTAAAAACATTGCAAGGAAAACCCAGTGGGACAAAACTTTGTAAGGGAAAAAGAGTACAACGCATATTAACTCCTCTTGATGAGAGCATCAATTCACATCCTTGATCATTCACATCCCAATCTTGTAGACTAGTTTCTTGAAGGTTGACGTCGGTAGAGATTTGGTGAACAAATCAACCATATTATCACTTAAAAGAATCTGTTGCACATTGATATCACTATTCTTTTGAAGATCACGTGTGGAAAATAACTTTGGTGAAATGCGACTTGTCCTAACTATTTTTATGAATCCTCCCTTCAATTGGGCTATTCATGATGTATTGTCTTCATACAAAATTGTGGGTAGTTTGTAACACTTCAAATCATTTTTGGCTCGAATAAGATGTATTATAGACCTCAACTATACACATTCTCGACTTTCTTCATAAATAACAGTTATCTCAGCATGATTAGATGAAGTAGCTACGATTGATTGCTTAGTCGATCGCCAAGATATGACAATACCTCCACATGTAAACACATAGCATGTTTGAGATCAAGCCTTGTGTGTGTCAGATAAATACCCCGCATCGGCATAACCAATATAATCGGAATTGCAATCATTGCCATAAAATAAGCCCACATCGGTAGTCCTTTTAAGATAACGCAATATGTGTTTGATTTCATTCCAATGTCTCCTTGTAGGGGCAGAGCTATATCCTGCTAAGACATTAATTGAAAAAGTTATGTCACACCTTGTAGTATTAACAAGATACATTAGTGCATCAATTGCACTAAGATATGGTACTTCAGGATCAAAAAGTTCTTCATTATTTTTATGAGGTCGGAATGAATCTTTATTTATATCGAGTGATCACACAACCATCGGGTACTCAATGGATGTACTTTATCCATATAGAATCGCTTTAAAATATTTTCAGTGTATGTTGATTGATGGACAAAAATTCATTTTTCATATACTCAATTTGTAGACCAAGATAAAATTTTGTCTTTCTAAGATCTTTTATTTCAATTCTTTTCTTTAAATAGTCTACTGCTTTATGAAGCTCCCCGGGAGTTCTAATAATATTTGAATCATCAACATACACGACGATTATAACAAATTCAAATCCGGATCCTTTTACAATGACAAATTGAATTATTCGTGTACCCTTCTTTCAACAAGTATTTTCTCGGGCGATTATACCGCATGCGCCCTGATTGTTTCAATCCGTATAAGGATTATTGAAGCTTTATTTAATAAATTTCTTGGGAACCATAATATGCTTCAGAACAATTTAAATCCTTCAATGATTTCCATTATATGCATATCAAGTTTTTTATGTATTGTCAGATTAAAACCTGAAATGACTACATCCACCACAAGAGAACATGTCTCTATATAATCAATGCCAGGATAGTTACAAATCTTCTTGTGACACAAGTCGTCTTTATGCCTATCGACTTGTCTTTCTTCGCACAAGAGCATATTTATACCTCCAATGGCTTTATACTTTCAGGTGTTGAGACTATCCGTCCAACTTCACATTTTTCAGGTGAAATCAATCTTGATTGCGTTTATTTTATTTTATTTTATTTTGGCCAATCATTTATCTGTCCAAATTTCATGACAGATTTGAGCTCAAGATCCTCGTCAATATTAATAATATTGAGCGCTGTATTATATTAACAATATCGTCGACGATCACTTTATGTCGGTTCCATTATTACCTAATAAAGACATAACTTATTGATGTTTTTTTATCTCATTATTTTCAGGTACCTGAGCCTCTCCCATGAGGTCTTATGAAGTGTTATGTCGTGGTGCTCTTCTAGAGCACTTGCCTCCTTATTATGACCATTTTGATTATTTGTCGTTGTCCTTCTTCAAGGAGTTTTATATTTGGAACCGATTGGTCTGTTACGCTTCATGCGTGGCATAGACTCTGTCCCTCGTGGACTTTATTCTATTTGGAGCATTGACAGCTGAAATATGACATTTAGCTTTGGGTCAGCAAATGCGTCTGGAAATAATTTGTAAATGAATTATCACTTGAACTTGAACTTTAAGTTCATATTTCCTTATACGATGATCTATATGTATTCATAATAATTCATTTCATGTATCACTTCCTCAACTGCCCATTTTTTCCCTAATGTTGGGATCACCAACAGATTTTCCAACCTTTTTTGGGAATACATCTTTGTGCATTGTGGTAGAATAATTAAATCATATAGCACATCCATATTTCTATATAGAAATTATTTGGTTCCTGACTCTGAACCGATTGTGATAGCGAGAAATTTTCATAATTTGGCTAGATGTGTACAAGTGCTGTTGTATATTAATAATACTTCTCATACAAAAATTCATTTTTGAGAGTTTTGTTCTCATAACCAATGATTTAGCTATAATTGGAGGCATATAATTTCTGCTAAACCAACTTGGATTTAAACCAGTATTATTAAGATAAATCATCATAATTTATATTCTGGAACCGTACTCTAATCATTTGAGCAAGCAACCTTGCAAAAACCAAACTGCAAGTTGATAACAAATGCACATATGACCATAGAATAGATGCATCTATTAAAATCATATAATAGTAAACAATCCACATGGCAGGTGACTGGGCCCATATATTTATCACCTTTTATTTGTTCTAAAAATCAAGGGATACAATCCCAACCTTAACTGGTATATCATGAGAATAAGCAACACAAGAGAATTCTTGAAAAATCTTCTATTCTTCAATATATGCCAATGTAATTCTCAATTAATTTTTTCGTATCATAATTGAACCGGGATGGTCGACCGGTTATGCCAACTAATATTTATTTTAGTAAACCTCTAGTTTACTTGTGGCATATGATTCAAGCATCATGCTTATATTTGTGTAGTACAAATAGAAATAAAATCAGGTAACCTTTCATATTTACTCGGTATGATTATAGAGAAGATATTCAATCTTCCTTTTATTTATTGTCTCAATATGACAACCACTTTGACTTATACATTTGAAACTCAAAAAGTTTCTTTTGAGACTTTACAATATCAATATCATGAATAATTTTATTCATCCATATAGTAACAAATTAGTTTTTTTGGAGCTCTTAACAACTTTTGTACTACACGATCTTTTATCATACCATTCATATGGTAAATGTCTCATTCACGGAGAAACTTATATCATAATAAATTGTCATGGTCAGAATCATCATAAGCAAAATCATTTATTGCTTTAATTTTGTCTTTAATAACTTTTATAAGGCATGTCAAAATAATATTTGGCGTATCACATGTACGCGACCAATGACATATTCATGTAACCACATTGTAATATTCATTATCTTTATTTCTCTCAAACCTCCCTTAGAGGTGAGTTGTGGTATTTATCCAACCATGCATAAACACATTCTTATGCATAATTTTTATCACATATATATTTCAATATTTACTTTCAGGAATGAGCCTACATTTACAATGCTTATCACACGTCATATTTTCAACGAATGTAATATAATCATGTGAACGTGTCTCGTATTAACATACCACATTGATACATATTCCTTCACCTTTGAAGGATCATTTTGAGAACCTTATTGTTCTCCTTTTTACAATTACCATAATGATGACTGTTATTATTTAATCTTTGGCACGCCCACGTTCATTGGTCAACCACTTATCTTTATTTAGACTTATTATGCACCATTATCATATTCACTTAAAGAATGGAGCAAATCAAATGAGACAAACTTCATGCTTTTTCATGAAAAATATATTATTTTTCTTTAGTCATCATTGTATCATAAATATGGTGCATTGAGACTCAAACCCAATGCCTTACCCATATAAAGGCATGTTAGGCCGTAATGAATTGGGACTCAAACCCAACTCTTATCATCATAGTGTGATGAGACTTAAACCCATCGTCTTCACCTCAACCAATGGCATCATTATATCTAGTCATCATAAGACTTTAAAATATTACCACTTCCAACAATTATAAGTGAAAAATCGTCTAGTATCTGCATCACCTTATCACATATTTAATTTGATCCAAATATTGAACTATTTTATCATAAGATATATAAAGTTAATTAACGGATAGACATAAAATCACATATCTCAATCGGGATATTAAAGCTCATCAAATATTATTGCTCCTCAAAGTTCTTATTTTTAAGGATAATATTTAAAGAAGTAATCAACTTAGATTGATGATATGTGCATTTAATTAGTTAATGGACAATGATATAACTATTATTATCTCTCATGTGTCTAAAGCAAAATATTATTTAGCGTAATATATATTTTGCTGCCAAAATTGAAGTATGTCACTTTTCTAG